CTGTTTAGGTTCACCACTGCTTTCCTCCCAAGGAGCAGGAGTCTTTTAATTTCATGACTGCTGTCACAGTCTGCGGTGATCTGGGATCCCAGGAACGTGAAGTCTGTCACTACTTCCACGACTTCCCCTTCTATTTGCCAAGGAGTGATGGGGCCGGATGCCATGATCTTAGTTTTTTTGATGTTGAGCTTCAAGCCCACTTTTGCGCTCTCCTCTTTTACTCTGAGCAAGAGGCTCTTTAGGTCCTCTTCACTTTCTGCCATTAGAGTGGTATCGTCTGCATATCTGAGGTTGTTGATCTTTTCCCCAGCAATCTTAATTCCCACTTGTGATTCATCCAGGCCAGCATTTCGCATGATGTACTCTGCATATATATTAAATAAGCAAGGCGACAATATACATCCTTGTCGTACTCCTTTTCCTATGCTAAACCAATCAGTTGTTCCATATCCGGTTCTAACTGTCGCTTCTTGGCCCTTATACAGGTTTCTCAAGAGACATGTGAGGTGGTCTGGTACTCCCATCTCTTTAAGGACCTGCCATAGTTTGTTGTGATCCACACAGTCAAAGGCTTTAGCATAGTCAATGAAGCAGAAGTAGATGTTTTTCTGGTACTCTCTTGCTTTCTCCATAATCCAGCGAATGTTGGCAATTTGATCTCTAGTTCCTCTACCTCTTCGAAACCCAGCTTGTACTTCTGGTAGTTCTCTATCCACGTACTGTTGAAGCCTAGCTTGTAGGATCTTGAGCATGACCTTGCTAGCGTGTGATATGAGTGCAATTGTGCGATAGTTTGAACATTCCTTGGCATTGCCCTTCTTTGGGATTGGAATGTATACTGACCTTTTCCAATCCTGTGGCCACTGTTGCGTTTTCCAAATTTGCTGGCAAATGGAGTGCAGAACTTTAACAGCATCATCTTCTAAGACTTTGAATAGCTCAGCTGGAATACCATCACCTCCACTAGCTTTGTTGTTAGTAATGCTTTCTAAGGCCCATTTAACTTCACATTCCAGGATGTCTGGCTCAAGGTCAGTGATTATACCGTCGTGTTTGTCAAGGACATTGAGGTCTTTCTTGTATAGTTCTTCTGTGTATTCTTGCTATTTCTTGCTTTTCCTAATCTTTTCCTAATTTCCTGTGTATTCTTGCTTTTCCTAATCTATTCTGCTTCTGTTAGGTCCCTACCGTTTTTGTCCTTTATCATGGCCAGCTTTGCATGGAACGCTCCCTTGATTTCTCCAATTTTCTTGAAGAGATCTCTAGTCCTTCCCATTCTATTGTTTTCTTCTATTACTTTGCACTGTTCATTCAGGAAGGCCTCCTTATCTCTCCTTGCTGTTCTCTGGAAATCTGCGTTCAGTTGGGTAAATCTTTCCTTTTCGCCTTTGCCTTTCGCTTTCCTTCTTTCCTCTGCTATTTGTAAAGCCTCATCAGAAAGCCACTTTGCTTTCTTACATTTCTTTTTCTTTGGGATGGTGGTGATTGCTGCCTCCTGTACAATGTCACGAACCTCCGTCCATAGTTCTTCAGGCACTCTATCTATCAAATCCAGACCCTTGAATCTATTCTTCACCTCTACTGTATATTCATCAGGGATGCGATCTAGGTCAAACCTGAATGGCCTCGTGGTTTTCCCAATTTTCTTCAGTTTAAGTCTGAATTTTGCAATGAGTAGCTCATGATCTGAACCACAGTCAGCTCCAGGTCTTGTTTTTACTGACTGGATAGAGCTTCTCCATCTTTGACTGCAAATTATATAGTCAATCTGATTTCGGTGTTGCCCATCTGGTGATGTCCATGTGTAGAGTCGCCTCTTAGGTTGTTGGAAAAGGGTGTTCGCTATGACCAGTGTGTTCTCTTGACAAAACTCTGTTAACCTTTGCCCTGCTTCATTTTGCTTTCCAAGGCCAAACTTGTCTGTTATTCCAGTTACCTTTTGACTTCCTACTTTAGCATTCCAGTCCCCTATGATGATGAGGACATCATTTTTTGGTGTTAGTTCTAGGAGGTGTTGTAGGTCTTCATAGAACCGGTCTACTTCAGCCTCTTCTGCATCAGTGGTTGGGGCATCTTCTGCATTTACTGTGATGTTGAATGATTTGCCTTGGAATCAGACTGAAATCATTCTGTCATTTTTGAGATTGTATCCCAGTACTGACTTTTGCACTCTCTTGTTGACTATAAAGGTCACACCATTTTTTCTACGAGATTCCTGGCCACAGTAGTAGATATAATGGTCTTCTGAGTTAAATTCGCCCATTCCTGTCCACTTTAGTTCACTGATTCCTAAGATATCGATGTTCAGTCTTGCCATCTCATTTTTGACCACGTCAAGCTTACCTTGATTCATAGTTCTTACATTCCAGGTTCCTATGCAGTATTGTTCTTTGCAGCATTGGACTTTCCTTTCACCATCAGACACATCCACAACTGAGCGTCCTTTCGGCTTTGGCCCAGCCGCTTCACTCTTTCTGGGGTTACTTGTACTTGCCCTCTGCTCTTCCCCAGTAGCATATTGGACACCTTCCGACCTGAGGGGCTCATCTTCCGGCGTCATATCTTTTAGCCTTTTGTTACTGTCCATGGGGTTTTCTTGGCAAAAATAATGGAGTGGGTTGCCATTTCCTTCTCCAGTGGATCACGCTTGGTCTGAGGTCTCTGCTGCGGCCTGTCTGTCTTGGGTGGCCCTTCACGGCATAGCCCACAACTTCATCGAACTACGCAAGCCCCCTTGCCACGGCAAGGCAGTGATCCAATAGCCTTAACTGAATACTAGAACATTTTAAATCTTATTTTATTATATTTGTTTATCTTTCCTGTGTTTTCTCCTTTTTCTCTCACCCCCTTCATTTTTTGAAAAGAAACAAGAGAAAATGGTTGTCCCACTGCTGTGTTGCCCATATGTTGTGTTGCATACCACTAGTTGAAAAACAATAAGAGAAGGCAAAAAATATTCTTGTTAACAAAAGGTTACCTTCAGTTTCTGAAATCTGTCACAGGATTTATCCATCAGGCTCATCAACTATTAGTTGTTTAGGTGTACCGTCAACTAAAGTGGATTGAATAGCTTAGTGACATGAAATTCTTTAACTACAGTCTTCAGTGTGAGTTATTCAAGTAAAACACTAACAGTTTTAAAATGTGCCCAATCATTTATAGATAAACTGTTGTAACTCTAAGTTCAGTAGCACAACACCTGTCAGGTCTGATGTAAAGATTAATATTTTTTTAGAAGTCAGTTCTGATATAAAGTTTAATACATAATTTTTTTAGATGTCAGTTTGTACATCTCAATATATATTGATGCACTGATGGGCACAGGGCCAGTATGATAAAGATTTGAGAAATTCCTCAATCAGGGCTTTTAAAAGTTAGTAAGCATTCTTGTGTGAGCTGCATCAATGCTTGTGTCTTTGAAGAGATCTGACAACGTGGAAAATCTGGCTTGCCTCTCTCTTTTAAGGGCAAATGTGTGGAATAATTAGTTATGTAATATTTACTAACCAGCAGTGAACTGGAGGTGATCAAGCAGACTGACGTACCTTCCCAGAACAGCGGTTTTCCTGTAGTACAGCATTTGACAAACATTTGGTTTTTCTTAACTGCAACCGAGTAACTGTCAAATTCATTTTCACAGATTTTTCAAATCTGGCATTGCTCTGATCCCTCCCTACATATATAACTACATTTTTTTAAACTACTACAGGCTAACTTTTAGTTTAGCTGTTGGAGATTTCAGCATTTAGGTCATATTTTTCTAAAGGTTATGGAGCTATTCAAACAGAAAAAAATATTTATAGCCCATTTTAAACACAGATCTTTGAAGAAAACTTGCAGTATAATTGCCTCTCATTTTAAAAAAAATTAGAATGGATATTTGAATAGGCCATAATTCTGCTAAAACATCGCAGATGATGTAATTTGTAACCCTCAAATTTGAGAGGTTTATTAGTGATTATACAGCACTGAACAAGAACTGAAATTTCTCATTTAACCAAAGAGCAAATGATCATTTATAATTTAACACAGCAATGCTTTAAAATCTGTCAGTTCAAATATTAAGTTCATTTTTCCTTTAAATGGCAGAATGCAGAAACGTACAACGTTGGTCCTTTGCAGTACAATAAAACCATGCACAGAAGCATTCCATCATCTTGCCGCTACACCCATTGCCATAAAAGACTCCTATAGTATGTGAGGCATGAAACAGTAGGGTCAAATAGCACTATCAAAACTGTTTCCATTCTTACCATGAAGCTGAGAATATAGTGGTGTCCAAAAGATCTGCACACAATTTGTTCTATCATTATGTTCTTGTATAACAAGCCATTGTAACAAAGAGTTAATACACAATCTAAAGGTATAGTAGCATCCATTTTCTTAATTGCTTGCTTGCACTGTTCCAGATTTCAGTTCAGCAAAATTTAGTTGTCATGGCGTTAGGTAATTTTAAGATACGTTGCTGATCTTCCACTGAACAGATGGAACTTCTGGACATGTAGCCTGAATTGGGAATGAGGTAGATGAGAGAATGGATAGGAGAGAATGTAATGGATGGGAAGCAGGGGTAAGCACCAAAAGGAATGTTCGATAGGAAAAAGCATGAGACTGGTGATAATCACCATTAAAACTACAGTAAATATTTTGGTTTAAACTTCTCCTTATGGTAGGATTTCAGGCTAATTCCCTTTTTAAATTCAAGGAGTAATAGATGCAACAAGGAAAAACTTTAATCAAAATTATTTCTATTTTGTCCAGTTTTGCAAAGTTTCTCAAGCAGCTAACCCCTATTCAATAGACTTTAAGACTCTTACTAATACCTTTAAAAACATAAGACTATACATTACAAATAAAACGTTTTAGTGAAAAGATTCAGAGGGGTCAATGACTAAATTGTTTAGCCATATACTTCTACCCAAATTGAGTTTGTCATCAAATGTGCATTTTTGCTCATTATTATAAAAACTCTTTAGAACATCTTGCACAAGTCTGTGCTTTTATTTATACATTTGAAGCAGTTCTTTCATTTGAAAATTAGAATTTCAATTTTTACAAGAAATTTATGATTTAAAATGTAACTTTACATTTTCATGGAATTTCACAACCACTACAGGGCAATTATTTAACTCCCCCACCCAGCATAGTAATATACACACTTTTTACAAAAATCAGAACCGGAACAGTTTTAAATTTCGCTGGGTACCAGGATCAATGGCAGCTGAGCTTCACTGAGTGCAAATTGGAAAAAAAAAGCTGTGCCTACCAGTGACCATCCTTGCAAACAGCCCTGATCTAATAAACTTTGTTCACGCCACCTCCTCAGAATGAGACAGAGAAAAGTTGCTTAGCTAACAAGACAACAATCTGATATCATCCATTGTGCAAAGACTACAACACTTACATAGGTAACCAAGGATCAGCATGGTTCCTGTGTAGCTAGAGTGTTTTTGCCATGCTGTACTATGAATGGCTTTACAGTATTGTCATAATCTGAAAATATGGCCATAAAGTCTGGTACTCATTCCAAGGCAAATGCTGCTAGCTTGGAGACAGTCACAGGCAGGCTACATCAGATTTTAGTTGCTATCCAGGACCATCTTATGTCCAGCTACACTTATAGTGCAAATTTAATCTTTCCTTAACAGTGTTTTTCTTCCAACAATGAAAGTATATGGCGGTACATTTTATTCATATATTCATGCCAGCTCTCTTCTCCCTTTATACCATCTTATTTCCACAAATTGTCTCCAGATATCCTTAGATATTTGTGAAATGAAGGATCTCCCCTATAAAACAAATGGTTACATACATCAGAAACTGATTTTCCCTGCATAACTGCAGCTTAATCATGGCCAAAGAGAAACACTCATCTGCAATCCCGTTCCTTTGCAGATGTTCCAAGAAATGAATATTTTATACAAGTTTTGTTCTGGGCTCAGGTTAAAAAAAGTCTTCCACTAAACAGTAGCAAAGAATGCATCCCTTCTTGTTCTACAGCTATACAGAGTCTGCTACCGTTTATTTTCAGTAGTCATCCTTTTTATTTGATGAAGCAAAGTGTCTTTTTCCATGTGAGCTTCAGCAAGGGCCATCTTAGCTTTGGCTAATTCCTGTTTAAGACATTCATTTTCTTCAATCAACTAAAATAATTAAAGAGAAAATACAGATTTAGTGTTTCTATACATTATACATATTATATATATATACACACACACACACAACATTATATATATATATATAATTAGATAAATTGTGTATGTGTCTGTAAAACCGCTCTGAGCCATATGGATAGGGCGGTATATAAATCACAAATGTAACGTAATGTAATGTAATAGCCTTAACTGAATATATATATATATATACACACACACATAACAGATATACATACATACATATATATATACATCTATATATCTAATAGTGAAGTTGCCCCCGGAGTGCGGATCGCTAAATCAGCGCTCCGGGGGCAGCTGGGGGGCCGGGGGAGGTTTGTGCACACGTGGGCCAGTCCCCATGTGTGCACAAAAATGCAAAACGTTGAAAAAAAATTCGGGGGGAAGTTTAAATCCCCCCGAAAGTGCAAGAGCGTCTCCTGCACGTGCGCAGGAGACGCTCTGCGACCTACCGGGCTTGCGTGCGGGGGAAGGGAGCGAACGGCCGGTGAGGCCCAGCAGCGGCAGACCGGTGAGGAGGGGGAAGAGACGTGGAGCCAGCGTTCCCGTGAAGGGAAGAGAAGCGGCCTGCGGCAACGTCCAACGCGGAGAAGGCGGCGCTCCAGAGACACACACACACCCCGCCATCCTCATCTTCACCATCGGGGGGGGAGAAGAGAGAGAAGGGGGGGAAGAGAGAGAAGGGGGGAGAGAGAGAAGGGGGGAGAGAGACAGAGCCTGGGGGGGAAGAGAGAGAATGGAGTTCAAGATGAACTCAGTATGCAACACACACACACACACAAACAGCGTTCCATTCGCATTGGTGTTTAGTCATGCCGGCCACATGACCACGGAAACATCTTCGGATAGCGCTGGCTCTTCAGCTTTGAAACGGAGATGAGCACCGCAACCCTAGAGTCGGATTCGACTGGCTTTCGAGCAAGGGAACCTTTACCTTTATACAGTATTAGATTTTATTTGACAAAAGTGTTTACAAACAACAATGCTTTCCAATAAAAAGGAGCATAAACTCAGGGTTCACCATTAATTAAAAGTATTAATTATCTGAAAGTGCTTCAAGTCCATTGAAAGCCCTCTTTTAACAGTGCTTTTCAGATATTTATGATAGTACAGGCTTCATCTTGAAAGAACAGGACAGAACAGACTGTACTAAATTTATACAATTAAAAGTTATTGTAAAAGTTAATAATTTTGTTAGTTTTACACTTGAACACATGAATATGCTTTACTCAAACCATTCGTCTGCCAAGGTCAATACTGTCTACACTGCCTGGCAGTGGCTCTCCAGAGTCTCAGGCAGACATCTTTCACACCTTCTACTATCTAATCCTTTTAACTGAATATGCTGAGGACTGAACATACTGTTTCATTCACAGCACTTCCACCTCAGGCTACACTAATAACTGCTATAATGGTTTATGATTATTTGTGCTAGTTATCACAGGTCTCCAATGTTACTTTAAGGACTGACTGTATCTGATGGCTTTATTGGATTTTATCGTTTTACATTTTTTATTGTAAGCCACTCTGATCACTTTCCTGAAAGGTAGGCTACAAATTAGTACAATTAATAATAAAGATACTGATAATCTTTTGGAGGACTTTGTTTCTATAAATTACCTTCCTCTGTCCTTCCTAAAATACCCAAGGTACAGGGTACCCTGATATCTGTGGTCTGAGAATTGGTAAAAGCCTTTTAAAAACCCTGCCAGAGTTGCTTCTAATATCTTGTGCAAGACACTGTCTCAAAGCATCACGTGACAATTTTCCAAGGCTGAGGAGGCTTACACAACAAATAAAACTGGTAAAATGTATTCATTCTCCCATTCCGTTTTTGAGCCATACTGATGGGAAGGCTCTAAGAGCATATGGTGGTCTTTGCAAACTCTAGTACTTTTTTCCATACCCTTGGGGAAAACAAGGCTGAAGCAATCCAACCAACTGTGAAGATCAGCTACTTCTGATGACACTTGAAGACACTTTTGACTAATGGACAATATAAGTCAGTTACAAAAAACAGGTTTACAACTACCTCTTGTTTCATCAAATCAGATGAAATCCTGAAAGTTTCTGGAGACCTCTTAATTTCTGTAGATGTCTGCGTGGCTTGTGATAGACTATTCCGTTTTTTGTATGCACCTATTTCAGCAGCTTGATCCACTGTATCATTTCTTGTCTTAGTCTTTGGTAAATCATTGCTGGGTGCTTGGTTATCTGTTTAAGAAACATTACAGTAAGGTGACAACTGATTTTGATTCAGTAAAAACTGTGTTAAGTAACACTCAGTTATCCAGAAAACTTGGTTAACAGGCATGCCCAGGTCCCACAGCCTGCTCTGCTCAGCCTGACGGCGGCAAGCAGCCAACAGTGGCAATGCCCAGGACCGGAAACCTGCTCTGGCACCAGGTAAAAGGTTTGTTAACCAGCCAATTTGGTGAACTGGAAACTGCCATTTTCCATGGATACAGATTAACAAAGTTTACACTGTACTTTAAAAGATTTGTACCATATGTCAATGCAATTTTGACAGATACTAAACACATTATTAGAAAGTAGTTCAATGAAGTCAAATATAATTCAACTTGAGCACACACACCAAAAAGTTTTAAATCACAGGAAGAGTGGATATCTTTACGGATTCACCTCTTCTCTGTAGCCTCACAACCCATGTAGCTTTTCCCCCTGCAAAGTAGACAGCCCCCAGCAATGCCATCTTGCAGGTTTTAGGAGGGTTTACCTGCACAGACGGGAAGGCAGGTAAAGATCTGCTTATACAGGATACCAGTATAAATATTACTTTATGTGCTGGATGCTGCACAACTCTGAGGAAGGACCAGTCTAAGGAGCAGTAGTTATTACCATGGTCTAAATGCAATGCCACAGAGAAACTGCTAATCTGCAGAAATTTCTAGAGCTCAAAGTGGAAGGTACTCCCCTCCCTCCTTTAACAGTTTCTCCACCTTTATGTCTTGTGAAGGAAGACAGGATGTGCTTCATCACCCAATTTTCCCTTCACCACCATGGAGTAAGGAAGCACTGAAGATTGCTTGTGAGACAAACATCATCAACTAAGTCAGATAAATCCAGGTGGGCAGCTGTCTTGGTCTGAAGCAGTAGAACGAATTTTGAGTTTAGTGGCACCCTTAAAACCAACAAACATTTATTCAAGGTATGCGCTTTTGTGCGCATGCACACTTTTTCAAATACATTGGAATGGAAGGTTCAAATGTTACCTTCCATTCCAATGTATTTGAAAAAGTGTGCATGTACATGAAAGCTCATACCTTGAATAAACCTTTGTTGGTCTTAAAAGATGCCACTGGACTCAAAATCTGTTCTGATAAGTCTGTTTTATGATGGTGCAAAAAGCTCTGTTTACAGTGCTCCCTGTCCAGGAGTGAAATGGCATGGTTAAACAATCACTCTCCATGCGCTCTTTGCCTAGTTAAAGATCAAGATGACTGCAAATATGTAGTATGTGAACAATTCTCACCTAAAGTGAGAAGGCCTCATGTTTTTATCCCACTCCGTGGGGAGAAAAGATCTGACAGCAAGTAATATAGGGAAAGTTTCCCAGCATGGGAAGAATAAGTTTGTCTGAGAGCATCAATCCAGATTAGTTTTTCGATCAAAGACAAAGGATACTGCTAAGGAACACAGAGACGTTTCCTTGGTGTTGTAGGAGGAGACATGAGAATGATTCCTTATTGAAAACAACCAAAACTACCATTTAAAGAAAATTAAATCAAAATACAGGGTCAAAGTTTATCCAGCTATGAAGGGGGAAAACATTTTATTGGTTTCTGAAGAGAAAATTGATGGGACCAATGGGTCCACTCCTGACTAAATTTGTTGTTATAGATCCAGTGCCTCAGATTATGAGTAAGGGAACAATATACATAAACAAAGAATCCACTGGGGAATAAGAGACATAAATAGCTGCTCTGAAAAGTGCTGTGAGTGGGAGAGGCATCCCCTCCATCAATGGAGTCACTGCATGATCGCCATGTTGCTCTAATACGAATGGGAAGGGGACTGGCAGATAAGTATCAAGGTGCAGAGCTATATGTTGCTATATGCATATGGTTCTGAACCATGTTTATCTGAAGTAGGAATGAAGAGCAACAGAAATCTTAACAGAGGTCAAGCAGATGATTCTGAAGGACAATACAAGCTTCAGCAGACAGTTAAGTCATCAAGAGGACACAGAAAAAGGGGAAAGCCTTACTAGTCCATGGGCCAGACCAGATGTTATTATCAGATATGGTGGCAAAATTTCTTTATACTTTTCTGAAAGTTTTCCTTGATTTATGCCTTATATCATGATAAGTATAATGGATAGAAGCAATTTTAGTATTAGTTATTTGTAGGGGAATGTATTAGATTTCCAACAGTGCTTTGAAATCTGAAATTGGTCACTTGGTTTGTAAGTTATACTTCTAATTAGAAAAGGTAAAAAAAACCAGTTTGGCCACCTTGATCACCTCACAAAAAGCTTAAGCTACCAATCAGAACAGCTTATCACATCATAACATAATAGACATACACCTTGCAGAAAAACCAAGAAATTTCACCATCTTAATAGATACCAGATGGCAATCTTTAGCTCTTGGCTCACAGACAATATATGACTGAAGGACTGAACTCTGATTTGAAATCATAAATATCTTCAGCTCCATTACTAGATAACACTAAAGGGAAACTCTTAATACAGTGTCTCCAAGCAGAGGTGACCTTGGAAATTAAAATCACCCAGAACAAGCCAAGTGACACAGTCCCTGTGGCACTACAAGGTAGCACTTCAAGGGCCATACATCTCAGACCCAAAGAGCAGCACCAACAGCAGCTCACTCACTGCCTCCTACTGAAAACTGGCAGCGATGCAGGGGAAAACAACTCAAAAGTTGACACTTTTTTGAAAGGAATCATGGCTAAAGATGTATGCAGGGCTGTGATGTGGTCATCAACAACTAATCAAGCATTATGCCTTGGACGTGAATGCTAGATGAGATGCAGAGACGGGAGAAGTGGTGCTGCATAGCCTGTCTGGTTGAGAACCTCACACCTGCCTTCCATAAATCATTTTGCTAGTCTCCCAGCTGATTCAGCACAGAGACTACCAGGACAAAAACAGGGTGCGACTTACCAGTAACTGATGTTCAGATAGCCAACTGTGCAGTTTTATATTCCTCCCTCCTAGCCCAATGTATGCTCTCCACTGCAACTTGCTGAAGAGCTCTTATTGTGGCTCAGAAGAACTGAGGAATGAGGTGCTCACCCTTCCTTTTTTACATTATACAAAGGTGAGAAACTGTTCAACAAAGGGAAATGATTTATGCTCTGGTGAGCTCCAGAAATTTCTCCAGATGTGCAAAATTAAAGTTCAGGCTTTTTACATTCCACTGACCTGAATTACAAAGTTAAACACATGCTTAAATCGCTGCCATTGAAAAAATGGTACCTAGAAGTGCTTAAGTTTGGGCAGAATCTCAGTTTACACATAAAGGATTACATTCCTTTTGTAAGCCAAGAATATAAAGATATGCTGCCTTTATAAGGTGAAGGGCCCAGAAAGCATAGCTTTACCAGCAGGTGCATGGCTCTAAATAAGACTTAATGGAGTAGAAAATTATATTGCCTAGCAATCACTGTACAACTATTCATTTCTATGACTAAATGTGGGCTTCATTCAAAGAACATCAATACATGGATTATCAGTTGTACAGCTGAAAATGGGAAAGCAATAATACTGGAAAAGTAATTATTAATAGGGTTCTGTTGCACTTGCAACTAACATGCATAGCCATCTTGGTGGCCCTGATTAAGCAAAAAAGACAGGATAAAAATGTTGTAATTAAAAGTAAATAAAACAATAATTTGAATTGGGCAAAGAGACAACAATGAAAGGTCACAAAGAACTGGTTCTGTTTCTGCTTACTAATAAATTCAGAGCTCAAGTTTAATTATTATTTGAAAAACAGACTTTTGAGTCTGTGTAGATTTTGTTACCTATCAAAAGCTTTGATTTCCCCCCCTATTTCTTGACAATTCACTATTTTAAAACCACACCTTGGTTAAATGCTCCATAAAGCATCCTCACATTTTAAAAGCATGTTCTGAATAATTCACACACAGGCAAGTATTAAAGAATTACCATTACCTGCTACAGGAGTTTGGATTAAATGGCCCCTCTAGCCCCTTTTAAAACTCATTTTTCTATGCATTCTTTTGATGAAGAAATATAGGAAGACACACCTCCAATGCAAAATGAACCATCATCTTTCCTTTCTACCATAAGTAGGTCAATATGCAGCACCTTGGGGACTGGTGTAGGAGCAGTTAGATGGTCACGTGCACTGTCATCCTAGAAAATAAAGCAACAAAAACTGGATTTTTAAAAAGTTTACTTGCTCAGATCCAAAGTTCAATGCAGGCAAACTACAAAATTTCTATACTAATGTGCACTTAATGAGATGCGAGTATGACGCTGCCTGCTGTGATTAAGTCAACAAAACTGAGGGGTTACAGCTCGTGTAGAGAACCAAAAATATAGAAGCTGTAATGATGTACAAAACGCTTATAATCTCACAATGATACAAAAATAAACAGTCAAATTGAAAAATATTAATTCCCAACGGGTATCAGAAAGATGGATGAACTTCTCCGAAGTTTTGGCATTCGTTCCAAACATCAAGATGTGATAGTGTTGCTTCTTATTCCATAATGTGTAAATCCAATACAAAGGTACTAATATCCTATATGTTGAACATGTTCTTACATAACAAATCCTTCCATCAACGGACACACTTCGTGTTCCTATATGTTCAACATATAGGATATTAGTGCCTTTGTATACGATTTACACATTATGGAATAAGAAGCAACACTATCACATCTTGATGTTTGGAAAAAGTTCTTCACGAAACGAATGCCAAAACTCCGGAGAAGTTCATCCATCTTTCTGATACCTGTTGGGAATTAATATTTTTCAATTTGACTTATTTTTGTATTATTATTGTGAGATTATAAGCGTTTTGTACATCATTACAGCTTCTATATTTTTGCTGTGATTAAGTCAACAGGGGAAGCTCCCTAAATGTGCAAGAGCACCAAGTGCACAATAAATCGAAGTTTGAAAGGAGCCCCTGGATCAAACTGAATGCCTTTATTCTTAATAATGGCAGAAAAGCAAAGCATTCAGTTAAACAGAGTAAAAGACTTGCGTCTGTATCTCCAAGTCTCTGTAAAAGAGATTGGGTTGAATCCAACCACCCTTTCTTTTGGCACAAAGTCAACAGGAGTGATATCATCTAATTTTCTGCTTCTCATTAAAGTCCTGTACCACGTGACCTTTTATCAAAGGTCACATAATCACCAACATAGCCCTCTCAAGGGTCAAAATGGGTTCTTGTCCAACCAGAAAAGCTGGCATGATCTAACCCATTTAATTTTCTGCACTACATACAATCAACCCCTATATTGTTTGAGTTTTTATAGCTATCAGTGACTGAGGAATGTTAGCTACTTAAATGAATACACTGGAATACTGGTCCCTCTGTTTTATCTTTACGTAGTATTTTTAAATAAAAGTTATTGATTTTGTGTGAATGCTATTTGCTTATTAAAGTGCTTTTAAAGAATAGATATACTTCTTTCAACAAACGTTTTGGGCTATTATTACACTGGAATACATCATCATTAGTACATACTAGCAGGGCTGGTCATAGGCATATGGGGACCTTGGAGAGGAGCCCAGATCCACAATGTGGTCTTTGTCCCCATTCTGCATCAGAACCCATGGGAGCTGCTCTCATTGCTCCAAATATCAATGTAACCTTTCTTCTGGAATCTATAATGATCACCCATTTCAAACACCATATTGTACAACTAGATAAAATAGAATTAGAACATTAGAACAACAATCCAACGAAGACAGTTTTTGGAGTTTTTTAGCTTAAAAAGTTGAGAATAGGGATTGGGGGGGGGAATGCCACATTCATAATATTATGCAAAAAGAGGATTTAAGTAATCCAATTAAGTTTTGCAAATAGGTCCAGGGAAGACAAAAGAAAATATTTTTATATGCAACACAATTCACATGTGAAATTCATGACCACAAGATGTGGGGAAAAGCCACAAATCCAGACAGCTTTAAAACAGAATTAGACAAATTCATGGATAATATTTCTATCACAGGTTATTATCCATAACTGAAAATGTGTATTTATCGCAAAACAAAAGAGACCTATTCAAAATTAAGTTTGTATTAGTTCAGTGTTTAGGCTTCCTATTTGACTGTAAGCAGTGTGCTGAACAAGATGTACAGACAGCTGACATACAACAATAAAACAAACAAAACTGATTAATAGCAGATTAATTTATTTGCTTTTGTTATTTTTAATTCTTTTAAGTTGTTTGTGGGGAGAAGCTTTAGTAGGAAGCCATAGTGTGAGACTTGGGGACAAGGCTCTCATATTCATTGCATTTTAAAATGCAGTAAAGGGAACAGAGAGGTTGACATGATTCTCAGCATAAAAAATGGCCTTGCTTGTTCAGACTCAAATTTCCCAAGTACAATATACCATCTTCCAAATTCCTCTGGGAAAATTACAAGCAGGCTATGATGAAAATAATGTTCCTGCTTGTTTGTTCCCAGCACTTGCTCATCAGAATATAAGGAATATAGAATTTTCATTTACTCCCACCTGCCAGAATTCCTTAAAGTAGTTTGCTCATTGTTGCCTGCAGACCCAGAGCCAACAAGAAAAAGTCTATCTCATCCAACTGAAGGACTGATCATGCTTGTATTAAGCAACTGTTTATTTTGTTTCACCAAGATTGTGAAACGAAGAAAAATAATACAGCCCATCTACCCCATCCTCCCACTGGAAAAATAAAAGACATATTCCACTGACATAGCAGACAACATATCTGAAAGGCGAAGTGTGCCACTGCTTGTCCACTATAATTGATTTTCTATGACTATCACATCTAATATAGGTAACTCAACTAGCAGTGATGACTATCACATCTAATATAGGTAACTCAACTAGCAGTGAAGAGAAGGCAAGCTTTGTTATGATCTTGTGTGATGCAGTGAGATCATTCCAGCATTCCTTTTGATTCGCCAGCTTCATAATGCAAAATATAAAATAGCTACTTTGGTATCCAATCGGCCCTGCTATCAGGAAAATGTGTCAAAGCCTTAGTGGTTAAGAAACATTATTGTTCTTGGGTGTTTGATGTGCATAATCAACAGGTAAGCAAGTGCCACCTGACGCATCCAAAAAGTTTCTCATCTCTCAACAATATGTAGAGCACATTGCTTCCTCCAAGCACAAATTCAGCAG